CCTATTATATAACTGATTTTATGATGCGAAACGATTATTAAGAACGAAATGATGGAAAACTGCTGAGTGGTCACGGCAGTAGGGTTGACCGTAAACCGGCCGGGACAGGCTATGGGGTTCATATTTTGCGGTGGGGCTATTGGTGGAAGACGTGGTATGAATATATATTGACTCCAACGATGGAAGACGATTAGAAGGGGTGGCGTCCTAACTTCACCATCACGCCACATTTGACCCCGTGTTGCCATAAATGGTCCACTAAGCTAAGGATAGTGCTGCTTAAATAAGCAAGAATTAACAATGTGGGCGTGAAATAAAAAATCAGGACTGTCCTTGATATCTTATCTGTTCCAAACAAAGAAAAAACTGTCCTTTCACAGTTTCCTATCATTTCCGAGTGAGAGGGTGAGGAGATTAATCCGGCAACACATGACTCCAAACAACAAGCCCTTTCGCCGGATTCAGCAGTGGAAGAGTGGTCATCGGTTGATCAGCGACGTGTGAGCATCCGTATATCAAGAATGACTCGCTAAGAAGTTGCACCTATGGGGCTGATTGAAGGAATCCGTCCCGGAAAATTCTTGCAATCTTTCCAGACATGAATATGTCAGTTGTGATCACTAGAAGACAGCACACAAAGTTTCACGCATGAAGATTCGGTTTCCGAAGAGAAACAAACTTACAAAAACCACACCTATGGACGGTCGAAGGTAGTCGCGCGGAGCCAAGGCGGGCATGGAGAGAGGGACGGCCAGGTATCAGGCGACGCATTGAGAATCTGGTTAAAGGGTTCGATTTTAGAGAACAGAGACGAAAGATCGACAGAAAAAGGAATTGGGTCAACAGGTACCAAACTTGGCAGGTAGGATGAAAAACTGACGTACACATCGGCTTTCCCCGTGAATCATTGCATATGCCAAATCGCCTTCAAAATGCTGCTAAATGAAAGCAGAATGTGTGGCGCATGTCAAAGAAGGATTGTACAGCTCTAAATGCTTTATCCTCAATCCTTTATGCAATTGAAGAATAAGTCTAATGCCAAATCTAAACTGTATCGGAAATTTAGTTCTGATGATAAACAGGCCTCCATATTTAGCTCAGCTTTGCTTTTTCACTTCCTGTCCCTTCTTTCAATGCTGCCATAATTCACGTTGACATTTCAGAAAAGAACGAATCATTGCGCATCACATGGTGGGTGTGCGAGAAAAGAACGAATCATTGCGCATCACATGCCCACATTTTGATATCATTAATCGGTGGAAGAACTCTCCTGTGCGCTTGACTCACTAGCTAGAAAATTGCACGTAGCGATAAAGGGTGACTAATGTCATTGCCTTATCAACGAAGATCGTTTCAATGATTGCTCTCGAAGATTCTTAAATTCTGTCATGGAATAGGGCTTGCTATGGTAGATCGTTTTTTGGATTTGCTGTATGGAGGGATTTTAAGTATGGGAGCTCACGTCATTGGGGCGGAAGGGGGGGGGGAATTCAAGTAGCCACTTACGGTCTTGGGACTCAGCCTTAGGGATGTGAGGAAGCTCTGAGGGAAGATGTGCACATTTTTCTTCTCCTCATTTCCCTCCTATGCTGAGCTTTACCCCACTGCCACGTCTTGCAGATTTCGAAGGCTCTGTTTTAAATGTCTCTCTCACCTTTCTAAACAAGCATTACTCATTGATTTAAGGAGAAGCTTACCTTAAATAGGCGGCCGACTGAATTGAGCTGGAGGGGGTCAGGGGTGCAAGGATGAAGAAGATTCCTTCCTTTCCCGTAGGGTCAACTCTGCGTTGCGCAAATTCAACTTTTCACAACCTGTAAACTTCAATACTTTTACCGCTTCTCATTACATGAATTTTGAAGGAAATTATGGACGTTTGAAGACTGCAAAGTCGCGTTTCAGGAAAATGGCTTGAAAAAATCAAGGTGGAAAAACGGAACAACGGGACTATTTTTTGAAAGAGTGATTATTTGAAAAAGTTTTAGCACTTATTCGAAAGCTCTAATCTTCTAGTTTCTAATTAGCCTTAGAACATCTGCAAAAAGTTGATTATGAAGAAAGTTATGAACGTTTGAATGTCGAAAACTCGCGCCTTCTCAAAAATCGGACCACAAACCCCAAAAACGGAACAACGGGACTATTTTTTGAGAAAGTGATCGCTGGAAAATTTTCAGGTGCTTGTTCGAAAGCGCTAATCTTCTAGTTTCTATTAGCTTTGAATATCCAAAAAGTGGTGTACAACGTATGCAAAATTTTCTGGAAAGCTTTCTTCTTCCATAATTTTCAATAGGTCTTTAGAAGTCAATCAAGCAAGTTCTAACTTTCTTCCACTTAGATTTGTTCTGAAGACATCAAGATTCTTTTGAGGAAGTTTGTCTGCTTACGGCCGCTGACAGATAAAGCGTTTGAAGAAAACTCCTGCTCGGGGTACGCCGTGCACCTGTTTGTGATAAGCAGTCGCACTAGCATATGAAAGTCCTCCACTCCCCTGGAGACGGTGATAGTATCGCGATTGTAGTTGCGTTGTACTGTTACATGGAATCCTATTTTCTCATGCATTTCACCGCGGGTCCCTGTGTATACGACCCCCTCCCTTTCGTTCGGAAATACGACCCCCTCGTCAGGGTCAACGGGCGGTTGACCCTACTTTCCCGTAGATTTCCATTTGTTGCAACTCTCATCAGTGCTGCCCTTTTCAACGCTAACGCTCTCTCTGCTAAACGGCTAGAGACTGCGGCGAGTGGTTAGCCAGTTGATGGGCGAACCGCGCCGATAGCGCAGTGGGGAGAGCCATGCTGGGTCGCCTTTTCGATAACTGCATGTCGATCCGCATGACCTTCTACTAGGTAACTTTGCCTTTTCGGCTAGACCTCTGAACTTTTAGTTGGTAGTGTAGAGTGGACTGAAAGCGCAGTAAAAAAAAAAAGAAAGTACTCTATCACCTGTGATGCGACGGAGAGACAGCGCGGAGAGAAGCACGAAACCGAAGAGCACGAGAGGGCACAGACAGATGTCAGCTGGAGTAATTCGCAACCATCAGCTGAGAGCGTTGGCAAAACCCTAGCGCCCTTGTCGCCCAGTTTCGAGCTGGGCGGTTGCTCACCGGTGACCATCGCAAACAGCTTACCATATCCACCACCCTCACTTGTACGATGCACATACCCTCCCTTCAAAAAGCGAGAAAGTGTCGGGTGCAGACCATACACCACAAGTGACGACGGCCTCCACAAAATGCAAATGTTTTCTGCCAATGAAATGATTAGCCTGTTGCAGTTGTATTCTATCAGTTGTCACTAATTACAACTATCATTTACCAAAATCAGCTATCACTATGAACCACTACTAACCAGATTTACTTGGAGGCCGTCGTCAGTTGTGGTGTTTGGTCTGCACCCGACACTTTCTCGCTTTTTGAAGGGGAGGTTATGGTGCCATTTATGGCAAATTACAGAATAGCGAGCTGTGTTGTTCACTAACGATCGCTTCTTATTACAGAAACCATCGAGGAGTATAGACCAGAAGAAACGGGAGAATTTGACGTGCTCAGGTTGCATTCAATTTCACTTTTTGATCCGTTTTCAACTTTATCCGTGGTCTCTGCTCCCGCGTGGCCCGTAACAATCACGACTACAAAGTCTCTGTTCAGAAGAAAATATCCCTCGTAGTCACTACCTGCCTAGTGCTCATCGCCGAAGTCGATCGGATTCTCACCGGAAAAATTGGCGCATTGACAGCCCACTTGATCACCTCGACTGCCCGTGAATTTTACCAATTTAATGAGGAAAATTGATGCCATCAATTTTCACTCGGTATGCCAATTTTTACGTAATTCGGGAAGGGGTAGGCCAGAAACATTTACTCGACACTCAACACGAGAACCCAAAAGAAGCCTTGACTAATATGAACCTGAGCAGCGAAGCAGCAGGCAGCCGAACAAGTAGGGAACACATTTTCTAGCTCAGTAGAACAGCCCAAGTAACTACAACTGATAATACGGCAGAGTGCACACTACCTTTGCTTATGACGAGCTGAAAGCCTGATCATAGGTTTGGATAGTGCTAGGGATAGCGCCACTCAACACGAGTACGGGAGCACAATAGCTAAGAGAAAAGAAAAAATACGCTTTTTTTTTAAATTTTTTGCTGACCTCTGACGCTTTTCCATCTGATTCCTGTTTCTGTTTCGCCTGAAACGAAACAAAAACACAATAAGATTCCCTCCACATAGAATTCTTTGACTAATTAACATGTTTCAATTAGCTTTATTACTCGCATACAAACAATTTTGCATTCATTGCATTCAAACAAGAATGAAGATTTAGATAAGATCACGCTCTTCTTTGGCAAAGATCGTCTCCAGGTTCAGCACTCCGATATCGAATGTCCGTTTAGCAGCAGGTCCATTAGTGATGTAGGAATTAGGGATGCGGAACTTGACCTTTCGCTTGCCAGGCTGAAATATAAACTGTAAGTAAGCAGCAAGCAGTAGGCCAAAAAAATGGAAAGACTTCAGTGCGTTGAAAAAACTTTTCAATAACTCGTTCAAAATACCTTGATTCCGTCGTCACAGTCATGGTATACCTTGAAAACGGGATCAATTGTAGTGAGTTCGCGTTCCGATCCCTAAAATGCTTATGTACTAATGGTATTCTGTATGTGTCAATTCAACTTGCATGGGAAGAAGCAAACGAAGGAAATTGAATATTTTCCTTGCCTTCAAGGTGAAGCTGCCGTCGGCGGCTGTATAGCCTTGATCGAGCAGATCATCGGGATCCGGGCCTAAATTACGACGAGTTGAAGGTTTAGCAACACATTTATGAAAGAGGGTTGTAGAAAATCCAGAAGGATTAGCATTAATTCGATTTTTTTTCATTTCATCCATTCAAAATGATTTTTTCCGTGTCATTCATTTCATTCATTCATTCTTTCTTTCTTTCATTCAGCTTGAGGAATTCATGAAGGTCAAGTGAAATCCATTGATTCCAGAAAACAACAATCTAATGGATCAATAAAATTAGTAATATAATGAAATAATAAACGCAAAGTGTACCAGTTCTGAGGAACAAAACAACTGTGTTACGGCTAGCGATTGTTCATTACTCACCGTCATCTTCATCCCAAAGCTTTACTAGGACTCCAGATGCTGGTCCAGCTCCACATCTCAATTTTCCCGTAATAGCCACAGATTGTTGGCGGATTGCTAGACAGTAGCCGAAAAGAGCAATCAAAATTATATATTTCATCTGAAACAACTATTTATCTATTGAGAGCATTAGTTTGGTCAGTTATGGTGCATAGCTTACGAAATGGCATCAATTCACATACTAGACCTATATATAAATAACTGATTTTATGATGCGAATCGACTATTAAGAAAGAAATGATGGAAAACTGCTGAGTGGTCACGGCAGTAGGGTTTACCGTAAACCGGTCCGGGTCAGGCTGTGGGGTTCAAATTTGGTGATGGGGCTACCGGTGGAAGACGTGGTGTGAGTATATTTGATTCCAGAGTAGGAACACGAGTAGAAAAGGTATTGATCCCAACTTCCCCGCCATCTCAACCCTGACCCCATGCGCCATAAATGGTCCATCTAAGCTAAGGATAGCGCTGCTTAAATAAGCAAGAATTAACAGTGTGGGCGTAAATAAAAAAAAATTTCAAGACTGTCCTTGATATCTTATCTGTTCCAAGCAAAGAAAAAACTGTCCTTTCACAGTTTCCTATCACTTCCGAATGAAAGGGTGAGGAGATTAATCCGGCAACACATGACTTCCAAACAAGAAACCCTTTGGCTTGATTCGTGGGTATAAGTGTGGTCATCGGTTGGTCACGATATCGTGTTAGCATGAATATATCAAGAATGACTCGCTAAGACCTTGCACCTTCATATTAAGTTGATTGAAGGAATTCGTACCTGAAAACTCTTGGAATCTTTCCCTACTCGAATATGTCACAAAACGGTTGAAGGTAGGTCGCGCAGCGGCTAAAGCGGCCTGAAGGAGAAGGACCTGTATCAGGCGACGGCATTGAAGTAATTACCGGTATTGAAAGGTTCGATTTTAGAGAACAGAGACGAAAGATCGATAGAAAAGGAGGCAGTAGAGGTGGGAGATGTCAATGTATTGAGTCGGTCCATAAGTCTTGCTACAAACTGGCCGGAATTTTTGAATTTAATATTTACATTATCTTTTTGTTGGACTTTGAGCTGGACTACCGCCGCTTGTTCATTTGTTAGTAAACTGTACCCACTCCTCATCTTCGGCAAATGTGATGGATGGTCAATCGTAGTAATCCCTAGTAAGTCGACTTGAACATAACGGTGTCAGATCGTGTTTGGAGCTGAATCGGGCTCAAGGCACGTGGGGACCAAACTCTACATTTTCGGATCTTCACAAGTCTTTGGAGATGCCACAGTGCTGTCTCTTGTCGCATCGGAATCGCTCTAGCAAATGATCGATACTCTATCCAGATCCCTTTTCAACGTCAGATAGAGCATCGTGATTGTCAGTCACAGGGTGGTTGGAGTGTGGGTTATTTTCAAATAAAAAAGTCAACGCTGAGCAGAGTGAAGCGCCGTTGCACTGTGGTTTGAGAGAGCTTGCCCTCGCCTATCTTCTGGCCAATCCTTGGTCTAGCATGACTTGCGGAACATTCCTAAGCAGTACTCGTAAAAATTAAGGGCACCGAGAGCCCTCTCGCGAAATCGGTGTAATATCCATAATAAGTAAGCAGACAACGAGCTGGACCGTTGGCTGAAATTGCAAAGGTTGATGCTACGTCAGGAAATATGTTGCGGATTTTCAGGAGTTCTCCCTAAAATTCTATAGCATTAAATGTAGTTTGTTGCAAGACTTATGGACCGACCTAATATTAGTCAAAAGGCCAGAAAGAATTCCTAGGGAGGTCCTCCAAGAACCAAGTGGAAGCGTTCTCGCTGCCACCATTTGTAACAGATGCCCGGCGACAATTTGAACGCGTAACAGCCCTTTCGGTTTCTCAGATTTTTTTTCAACAGAGGGCGTAATTTTTCTGCTCATTTCGTTCTTTCGTTGAACGATGGTTCCACGCGGGTATACGCCCATACTATTTTTCTGGCAAGGATTTCTTGCAAAGGCAGGGATTTGCACATGAAAGTTGCTCATTGCAATAAGTGGTAGAAGGTGGTTCCAGTGTAGCAAGTTGAAGAGGAAAGCCAATCTGAAACGGGCCCTGCACTCGAGAAAATGGAACGCCCTTTTACCGTCGCTGATTTTCGAAATTGACTGCGCTCTTATCGGTCAGTGCCACCCTTTTGGATCGAACCTACTTCTCTCTGTTTAATCCTAATCACACCCACGTACTCACATCTGCTGGGTCGAAGTAACTAGATAGTCAGTGGGCGTACCCCGCCAACCGCGCAAAGAGTGGGCCATGCTAAATCGCCGAAGTCAAACCTTTCGCTGCCTATTGCGCATCGGTGAGCACAGGAGGCGCGCCTGTCTCCAGAACTGTCAAATTTAGTTCTCTTTGGCCTTCGTTCTCATCGCGAATTCCTCCTTTAATGAAAAAAAATTGTTAACAGTGTTACCTCCGGCCTTGCTCCCTTTCCAGTTATGTTTTTTTTCAGCAAAGCCTCAAAGGCATTCTGCGATTAGTTTAGTGCAACAGTCTCTCGGCAATGAAATAGCTGTGCCCGCAATGAAGCGCTAAAGATGACGCTACTTTCGCGACTCGAAACGGTTCCGAGGGCATTACTACTCATAGCTTGTATCCATGCACATCGAAGCACCTATGCACACCCACTGTTGCGAATGAACGGCTAGTGTCACTCCCATCCCTATAGTTCTCTTGTTTCCAAATCTGCTCTGTAGTCTTTGTGCTCATTATTCTTTACTTGAACTGTCTGCTCCATATAAATGGTAAATGTGTGTAAATAAATGGTGCCTCAATGGCCGGGATTCAGGCCACTTCTTTTCCCATATTCATTTTCGAGTACAATACGCAACTGCAAAGGGTGGAAGTGTATAGTGGCAAGTGACGCTGCTTACCATCTACGGGCTAGGGATCAAATCAAGGATCGTGCGGCGTCCAAGCCAACTTTCATCCTTCCGGGAGTTGTTAAGAGGTACCAGGCTTGGTGGGTAGGATGAAGACACTAACATACAGGGGGGCCAAAAAAAAGACATTTTGCCTCCACTTCCAGATGGATTTAAGCACATTTTACTCAACTCAGACCGAACGGTTCCAACTTATTATTAAAGAGTGCATTCCATTCTATAAGAAAATCTTCATAGTGGCCACGTACGTGGACGGCATCAGAAGAATTAGCCCTGGAAACATGGTGCACTGGTCGATCTCAATGGGGTCTTCGAAGGATCGTGTACCATAACGACCCTTACTGGAAAGCTAGTTCCGAGGGGATTTGCACAGTGGTAGCTAATGCCTCTAGAAAACTATCCAACATTAAATCGATTCACGAAATTGCGTAAGAGCTTCAGGCTGAAGCTCTTACGGTAGACCTCCTTGAGCCTGACGACGGTGACAGATGACGTCATATTCTGAAGACGGTGAGGGCAGTGAAGGAGGGCCTGCGTTCACTTATAGAGGGACACTTAGGGAATACTCTGCTGAGGAACTCCCGTCAACGACAGCAATCTCTGCGAAGAAAAAAGAGCCGAAGTCCGACATAGGCAAAATGTCTTTTTTTGCCCCCCCCCCTGTATATATCGGGATTCCCCTCAGATTATTGCATTAGAGCCAATCACCTTCAATGCCACTACGACTCCAAATGGATGTGGAATGTGTCCATCCAAAAAGAGTCTGTAGATCTCTATGCTTTATCCTCATTCTTTTATGCAATTGAAGAATAAGTCTCATGCCAAATCTAAACTGTATCGGAAATTTAGTTCTGATGATAAACAGGCCTCATATTTAGCTAAGCTTGCTTTTTCACTTCCTGTCCTTCTTTCAATGCTGCATAATTCACGTTGATATTTCAGAAAAGAACAACACGAAAACCAGCAGTCATCACATTGCGCATCACATGCCCACATTTCGATAACACTAATCGGTGGAAGAACTCTCAAGAGCGTTTGACTCACTAGCTAGAAAATAGCACGTCGCGATAAAAGATGATTAATGTTATTGTCTTATCAACAAAGACCGTTTCAATGATTGCTCTCAGATTTCTCAATCCTGTCATGAAATACGGCTTGCTGTGGTGAATCTTTTTTTTTGGTTTCACTGTATGATGGGGCTTCTATGTATAGGAGCCCATGCCATTGGGGGGAAGGGCGTAGGGGAGGAGTACATCCAAGTAAGTGAGCCAATTATAGCCCTTGGGGCTTGGCTTGAGGGAGGGAAGGAATTCTGGGAGGAGGACGTGAGCAATCATCTACACTGCGTTTCATAAATATAGGTCCACCCTAATTTTTTGCTATTCCAAAGTTGCTGTGCATTTTTGGAAAATGCCGCTATTACCAATAGTTTCCCCATAACGAAAAACCTTGATACTTGATTTCTGGAGAAATCTCGATTCAGAATTATTAAAATATCTTCCTTAGAACGTATTTTCACCGTTTCGCAAATATGACTACACATCACTTGTCGAGAGATTTTACTATAACGAAAAAACGTCACGAATTTTCAATAATGGGATGACCCCCCAATAATCATAAGGAACACAATAATACGTTTTGAAATGCTGGTAGCCAAATTAGCTATTACAGTAGGATCGAAATTCGTCTGGGCGCCGATGATCTTTTCAGCTTTTCGGCTGTTCCATTTTGCTTTACTTTGCTGTGGAACTTTATAACAATTAAGGCCCAATGATTCTCTATTGGAATCTGATTCAGATTCCATCTGGCGCGGAGGGACCGGCATGGACAGCCGCGTTATCGTGTGTGAAAATCAAGGATAGAGGGGATCCTTGTTGAAAAAATGGTAAGACTCGCTTCGAAAGAACTTCACGATACCCTGTGGAATCTTTGTGAACGGAAACAAAAGCGAGCTCTAGCTACTCAGTCGTTCAAAGGTGCCTCAAACCATAAGGGATTCACCGCCGAAATTACGTTACATTGAAACCATCTGCGATTTTCACGCGATCATCCTGTACCCTCCCCCTTCCTCATCAGATACCGCATAAACCTAGGCATTTTCCACGCTCGTCTTAGCTCACCTGCACCCACTCAAGGAGGTAGAGTCCAAGATCGCGAAGGGTCTTAACAGCCACACCATCGCTCATTAAGTTGAGCCCTTTTCCAC